CCATCATGTGACACCGGGGTACTGGATAGTACCGGTATTTTTGATACCAAGTCCTGGTTATGAAGGGGGTAGCCGCTGTGGGCTTCGAGGGGTGGGTCATGGGGAGGGGTCCGAACGGAGGGTTTAAAGGGGGGTGGAGGGGTGGGGTAAAGTTCCAAAATGGAGAGTTGAAAGTTTGAAAGTTGATTTTGATTGGAAAATGATTGCAAAAGTATACGGTTACGACCGTTTCTGATACGTGTAACGGTACGAAACGGGGAGTTTTGATTGGAAAATGATTATTGTTTCAAAAAGTTGATTGGAAAATGATTACTGCAAACTTTCGTTGATTGGAAAATGATTACTCCAAAAATTTGTTGATTGGAAATTGATGATTGCCCCATAAGCATAGAGAAAAGTGAAAACGTCGGAACTTGGGAACGGTCGTGGCGACCGTGCGGCGTCTAAAACTCGACTCGACTCTGCTGCTGTATTTGTATGAACTTGCCAGTTCTTGATTGAGAGTACCGCCACCGTATATTAATGCTTTTAGATTCTCTACTGATGTACCAGCCGCACTCAATAGATTTTATAGTTTATCTTTTTATTGAATATTTAGGATGGCTCCGACCAGCTGGTGCGGGGTGGGGTGGGTGATAGCTTATGGGTGGGGTGGGGGGGCCATACGTTCTTTTTTTCAGGGTATATAGGGGTACAAAAGAGAGGGAAATGGTGGGTGGGAAGCATGGACTCCAAAGCTGGATACTACTAGAGAAATCACACCACTACCCCTTAGCAAGCTCACCCCACCTTCGTTCTCAATTGTATGCGACCCTCGAACCAGAAGTTGGAGATACCCCACCCATTCCTGCAGCTTCTGAGACACTACCCTCTTTCAGATGCCTCCTTTTTTCATGCACCCTTCCATTTCCCCACTTACAACCCACCTCTTTTAGGTGAAATGGACATCATGGCTCACAGGTACCCAGCAATTGAAGAGATGTATGCGAGACTACCCCTACATGGGGGCCAGACATTAGAGAAACTTTATCCGTGTGATCCACATTACTATAAAATACCACCCTACCAAGAGGCTTTTCTGTGAACACCTACCCCTTTCATCAATCCACCCACCCTCTTCAAACGAAATAAGTGTACCCCTACCCACCAGTTGTATTTCACTTTCAGCCTATGACCGCTGATGCACAAGCCTTGACTTTTCTTCAGAAATCAAGGCCGATATTATGCTGTACCCTATGGGCTGTCCACCCCTCAACCACGGAGCCAACACGGAGCCAACATGCACCCCCATATATTCATCCTCATGCATGACCCGGTGGGTATCATCGCCACCCCCCCCAACATTTTCACGATGAGTAGAACACCACGGGTTCTCGATCTGCGAAAAACATAGGGGGTGGGTAGGTCATTGATAGTGACCCGGTGGTGGCTCCTACCCCTCAATTTGGATGCTTCACATGAATCTATAGGGAAGGGGGTCACAATAGAGATTTTATTTATCCATACCATAGAGAGATCTTGTGCGAGTGCTAACCCTACCCCACTGTTTCAAACTGTACCCCACCCTATTCTCTGACATATCTCTTACACCTACCCCGACCTCTGTACCCTACTATCCCAGACTTGGTCCCCCCCTCTAAAACTGGCCTCTACTACTTCCCAAACATTCCCAGTCACCCATACTACCCTACCCTGCCTCGAAAACAATGACCACCCAAAGAGGAGGAGAAAATGTTAGCACCCATCCACAGACTCACCCCTACCACTTTCTTTCAAGACTTTTCGCGGGAAAATTATAGGGTCCAACAATAACCCCGCCATTGATTCTAATCACCCTACCCTGGTGTCGGAACAAAAGGTTCTCTTCTACCCCCATGTTTTATCATCCTGCACCCCCTCAGAAATGTTACTCCACCCGAGTTTTCGAGGCCTTCACCACCCGTCCCAAAAACCACCCTCACGACTCAAACACCATCCTTTCATCGCCCACCCCACCACACAATTTCCCTGGTGTACCACCACTGCTACCCACCCTCTCCATCCTTCTCCACCCCCTAGTCCTCGTCCTGGTCTCCCTGCCCCCTGCCCGCTCCCCCCACTCCTCGGTCCTCCCCCTCCTCCCTTGTCTACTCCCCGCCCACTCTTCCTCCCTCCCTCCCTCCCTCTTGTTCTTGTCTCCATCTCACCTCCCGTGATCTCCTTCTATTCAGTTGGGGTGGTTCTCGATGGGATTCTCGATGTGTAATCAGACATAGGATTGGTGAGAAAGTGGGCTGAAAATGTAATCAAACCGCGTTACTCTCTCCTGTTGGTATCGCTAGCGAGGCTGGACGGCTATCCTTCATGCCGGACAATGTTGTGCACTTGCGACTGCCTTCTTTTGCTGATTTTCTCTTGGACCTGGCTGGAAGGATCCAATTGTAATTTGCACGCCACCCGACTCCCTTTGAACAACTTTTGTGATAATCTGACTAGAGCTAGAAAGGGTTTCGACAGTAGATAAGATCCCACGTATTTCACTTGTCTAGCCCTCTCAGGAACATTTGGCAGCCATAGACAAAGCTGCAATAGATTCATTATAGGATGTGTGTTTTTGTCTCGTGCCGCGAGGGAACACCACTGAAAGCAGGGTTCCATTGAACTGCAAACCTGACATTTCAACTTGCAGAAAATGGAGCCTTGATATGGCAGCACAATGAGTTATATCAGCTCTCACACCAAGTGAATCACCGCAGTGGATTAATTTTCACAAACACACTTGGGTTTGATTGTCGGGATGTCGACGATCCACAATACGAATCTTCGCACACCCAGTCCAAACCATGGACAACAGGTTTGTGACATCTCTTCATACCTGCTTCCTTGATTCTCCTGCAGATCGTACGCGGCCAAGAGCGCAAAGGCCCCAGTTCTTCACCAGTGGTGAGTGTGATGGGTGATGAATAATTCTTCTAACAGATCGTGTCAGGTCAATGCAAGAGCGTCTACTGGGTCGCTGATCAAACCTCAAACGAGTCGTCTCACTCCCCGAGATTCCGATGGTTCTCAGGTATGGCTCTTAATCGTTCTGCAGAGCAGCGTTGGTGGTGAGTTGACCTACCTGGGCAGGGATTGGCTGCCTTCAAGCCAAGTTCCAACTTGAAGGTAATTGTTGATGCTAAAGACGAAGGAGATGTTGTTGTGAAGCGATCATTCACAGTCGAACAACCGAAGCCCAGTCCCTCCATCTATGTCACACCTGAAGCGGTACTTTCAATGGAATGCATATGCTCGCACTGAATTTTATGAAGCTCTCCAAACAACTTTCAGTCTACCATGAGTGATAAGAATGTCACGATAAAGCCAAATCCAAAAAGAGCTGTTCTCGCACAGGTTTACCCTGCGAGCTTAATCACCTTCTGTAACCAGTTTTTATCTAGGGGTCTGTCACTTCCATTCGGCAAGTTGGGTTTGCATCAGGTAACTCTGATTTGAAATGAGCCTCTGTAGATTTCTGAAATCTGACTCGCAATATAAAGCTGGAATGAATGCTGCAACGGGAACACCAAGGTCACAGTTTCAATCCAGCGAAGTCTCCTGTACTCCACGAGGTTTTCCCTTGGTTGGGAAAGTATCTGTGCTTAATTCCCGAATGTGTAGGTCAAGGAGCGTTACACAATCCCAGCGTAGTGGTGAATCGGTACTTCGATGGCTCTCAGAAGGTTTAGATTCCCATAATTCGCTGCACCTTTGATAAGCTGCCTTGCAGGTGGCGCTTGCCCCGGGGACTCTCATGAACAAATCCAACTCTGTCGCCGCCAACTCCATGGACGAACCGCATGACCAAGCCAGTGGAAGGTGCGAATGCTCGGTGAAGATAAACTCTCGGAGCCTAAGCCCTACGTCAGGCGAGTGTTAGGATTTGCACGAGACAATCAGAGGAAATCCGTTTCTGGATCACCGGTTTACGGCGTACAGGTTGACCATTGCTCTACTTCTTTGTTCCGGGTTATGATCAAAATCTCAGAACGCTGCTGCTTCTTCGCTGGATTCGGCAAGAAGCTTTAAAGGTAAATTTTGATTGAATGTCTTCCAGATTATTTCATTTCTTATTGAAATGCTGAAAAAAACACTTGCAGGGGTTCAATGGCTGCCTGTCCAGGATCAGAAAAGCAATATACAGGTTAGGACCTTTGTATGATATGGAAAACGATCGTTTCTGACACCATTTCCCTTTTATTTTTGTTTCATTTTTAACAGAGCTCCATTCTGTTGTTGCAGCAGAGCCAGCTGTTTCAGAGTGATCCAGTACTCAGAGATCTTTTACGAATGATAGTCAGTCGTATCAATACAAGTCACCAACAGCAAAGACAGAAACAGCAAAATGAAAGGGTTATTGTTACGTCCGACAGTGCTACACAGGTTATACACGTGCTTGTTAACGTTCTCCAAGCTCACAGTCTTTCAGGTACAGACGGTTGAGGCTTTCACGCAGACGGAGGCTGCAGAATTCCAGGAACGAAGATTGAAGGCGAACAAGTTGAAGAATAGAAGATTGGATGGGCAGGGCTGTTCATTGAGTGATTCTGACGTTCCTTCGGATGCAAACGATGATGCACGGTCAGCCAGTCATAGAAGGAGGAATTCTCTCGACGACATCTCGTTGTCAACCAACAGCCCCAGAGAGTCTTGCGATGGATACTCGAGGGACCTATCTGATGCCTCGGGACCCATTTCTGTTTCAAGCATGGTCCAAATGAGTATTGCCAGCAGTACAGACGCGTCGCAGACAAATACGCTTGCTCATGATCAAACCAGCATGACTTATTCTAAGGATTTCTATGACGAGCACGCCGATCACAGGGGGGCACACATGGACGAGTGTCTGCATGGTCATGACCATCATACATTGGACTGCATCTCAATCGATGAGACGATCAATTCTTTTGAAGCTGTGGATCTGAACAAGACCAAGTCACCAGTGGGTACGGATCTGCTTGCTGATGCGGATGGATGTGAATTCGAAATTGAAAACTCTGTTTACGGTTCGAATGAGTCGCCGACGGAGACTGCGGCGACAGAAAAGAGAGCCAACTCCCCTCCGCCTTCTATCGAGACTCTGATGGAGTTACAAAAGATTCTGGACGATCACTACAAGAAACTTTGGCAAAGTGGGTCTTACGCTGGCAACAGTCTCTACAGGCAAGGAACTCCGATCCGATTTGACGGAATCAACAGCCCTGCAACAGCGGAGATGCTCCGACTCACCATGGAATCTCAAGGACAGTCGCTCGACGAGTTGCGTCAGACTCCTGAGCGACCTCCTAACCCAGATCCAACGAAGTGGAGTCCCAATGCATGCTTCAATGCGGAAGTTCCTGGATCAATTCGAATGGGAAACAGTCCACCAAAGCACAATGTTCAGATGCCTTTGAGACAGCTTCGGCATGTCCCGGTGCCTTCTCTGAAGATCTCTGCTGCAATCTCACGCTCGGAGCAAGCTCCGGTATTCTTACAACCTTCCCTGCGAATTACTTTATCTTTCGACTTTCGTTCCCTCATCCTTCATTTGTGTACTCCTCTCGATTTGACAATGATTATCAATAGGTTGAAAGCCCTCTCTCTACCCCTCGATCCGGGTCTGCCTTTCTTGCTCATGTGAACTCGGCTCGCTCCTCGACAAACTCGGCCTCCGAATGACAACTGCGGCTCAAAATGCGTCACTATGTTTTTTGAACAGGGTCGTGAATGTTTCCCCGCCCGCCTGGTGTGTCAGCTTGAGCGTGTGTGGCATATTCGTTCAACAATTTGTTCTAATTATGTGTGTCGTGGAAACGATGATTAGCTCCCCAGTTTCTATGTGATTATGGTTAAACTTGAAGCATACAAGGATGGTCTGAGTCGGTGCAGTGCTGTTACTCAGTACTTTGGATTCGGAAGTTCCGGGCCGCCGCCCTGACTGGTTCGAAGCCGTTGGGTTACTCGGTGGCAGTGTTAGTGATCTTTCGGTTCGCCGCCGGTCCGGCGGGCCAAACCGCATTCGACCGGCGGCGTGAAGCCTCAGAACGGTTACATTGATTATCGGATTAAATAACGGTGCATCGATGTTTGACCTTTCAATCGCAGGAACGGACGCATCTGTCCGACTACCCCTAGCAAGCGGCATTCGGCCATGGGACCGTAGGTGGTTCCACAAGGGTACTCGCCGTCAGTGCCTCGGGAAGGGAGTCGAGGGCAGGAGTGGGGCTGAATGCAGTAGTTTTGGGTGGGGTGGGGTGGGGTAGGACAGATTGGGGTGGGTAGGGTAGGGTAGGGTAGGGTAGGGTGGGGCGGACTGATGTGGTGTGGGGTCGGATTCTCCGAAAAAACAATTTTTGGGCCGCATGGAGAAAAGTTAACTTTCAACATATAGATACCCTGAAAGTTAATCTAGTCCTTGAAAGTGAATACGTCTTGAAACTTTTGGTAAAACGATTTTAGAGAAGTGTGCCTAACGGTCGCAACGCTTTGTAACGACCAACGGTAACGCAAACTTACAAACCATCCCTACCCCCCTTTTAAGTACAAGAGAAAAGAACCGACCCCTCAACTTAGGACTACCCTTGATTATCCTCTTTGTCTGACTGAAAGTGGCCTTTTACTACCCCTCCAATTCCACGACTTGGCTATAGAGGGATCGGGGGATCAGGTACCCACCCCAGAGATGTGCGTTGGTATTTTTCAAAGTTCACACATACCCCACCCATCCTATAGAAAAAGTAACCCCACCACCATTATCCGGTCAAAGCACCGGTTCATTTGTACGGTGTGGGATGACCCCCACCCCCAAACACCTTCTTAAAGCAAACTCCGTTCGTTTTCTCAAAGTGGGACGTTGGAAGCACGTAGATGGTCATGAGGGAGGGAAGGGAAACAAGGAGATGGAGAGTGTTGGAAGACAAGGATAGCAAGGATTGCGATAGCAGACAAGAAGACCGAAACAATTAACCACAGAAAGAGAAATAAACACAGACAACGTCATCAGCAGAAAGTCTCTCCTGTAGTAGTCAGACGATCAGACCTAGGGACAACAATGCAAGAAGACATGTTGCAGAGAAGACAGTGTCCAAAGAAATCGAAAAAAATATCAGAGGAGGAAGAAGTTTGCGGTAATGGTCAAGTAATAGAATGTATCAAAACCAGCTCGTGGCAGAGGGAAGTCAAGAAGGGATAAGCAGCGTGCACTGTCTTGGGCAAAGATGACTTAGAGGTGACAAAAAAAAGTACAAAGCAATCGACAATGATAGAGAGTTGTGCTACTGAGAGTGATTAGCAGAGAAACTTGCTCATGTTTGAAAAAGATAAACAGTGTGAGCATTTTCTGATTGTTGTCCGCAGAGTCGCTTCGCGCATTAGCAACTTGGTGCAGGATCTGAATGAGAATGCAATTCTAAGTGGACACAAAACCTCAAGAATCAAGAAAACTTGTTTCGTCATCGAAAATGTACTCCGATGACATGTTTGCTCTTGCTCCCAAACCAGCAAGTTCTTCGAAACGAAACAGATCAGGAAACGAAGTCGCTACCACCTTGCAGGGAGGGTCGTCGAGCATTGACATATCATGCTCAAATCACGAATCGAAGATGTTGAGTTCCTTCCATGTCATGCTCAAGGAGAATTTCCTGTGCGACATGAAGGTCACGATAGGAAGAGCCAAGGTCCCTGCGCACTCCATCGTGCTTGCTAGCTGCAGCTGCTTCTTCAAGAACAAGATCGCCAAGGGGTCGCGAACCGTCAGCCTCGACCCCAACGACCTCAGCGTGCAGGACTTCAGAACCCTTCTTGACTGCATCTACAAGGGCAAGATGTCTCTCATGGAGGAAGCGATCCCCAAGTTCATCCAGATCACCGAGAAGCTCGAGCTCGAGAACATCCGGGCCGCGTGCGTCATGAAGCTCGTATCCCGGATCAACGAGGGCAACATGGAGCGGATGCTTGTCACCGGCAACGACATCAAGTGTAAGGAGATCATCGACGCTGCCAAAGCTGCCATGCTCAAGGCGAAGTCAGCTCAGGTCAGCGAGCAGGCCTCGAGCGTGTCCAAGAGCATCAAGTGCCCATGGACGAAGGAGGAGGATGACCGTGTGGCCGACCTTGTCGCTCGTTTCGGCGTCAAGTCATGGTCCGCACTCGCCACCTACATGCCTGGGAGGACGGGGAAGCAGATCAGAGAGCGATGGCACAACCACCTGGACCCCAACGTGAGGAAGGAGCGCTGGACACCTCAGGAGGACGCAGCGATCATAGAGGCACATGCGCATCTGGACAACAAGTGGGCGGAGATTGCCAAGCTGTTGCCGGGAAGGACGGACAACGCAATCAAAAACAGGTGGAACTCAACGCTGAGGAGGGTGGTGGAGCATGGCGCTGTCATCAGCTACGACTCTGAGAGCCGGCAGAGCGACGAGCTGGACAACAGCTCAGACACTGCGAACAAGAAGCGGAAAGTTTTGACACACCAGGAGCAGTCGAAAGGCAACGAGGACAAGCCAGTTGGAGAAGGAGCGAGGACGCGGGAAGGGACGGATCGACGAGCTGAAGAGGAGCTGGGGCGTAGCTGCTTCGATGTCGACGAGATGTCGGAAGAGACGGAGGAGGATGTGAACTTCACTCATGATCTGCACGAAGAGGAGCTCGGGAGGAACGAGGCTGACGTACTGCAGTTCGAGGAGGAGGAGGAGTCCAAGAGAGCAGCTACCTCTAAGCTGTGGACGCGAAGACCGCCCATCAGCATCCAGACAGAACGAGAGGAGCTGGCGACCTGGCCATCCAACTTTTCTCCCTCCGTTGCCCTTGAAGAACTTTTCTGCCTCTCCTCCAACGTGACATGCGTCGGTGGAGGGACAACCTCGCCTGGACTGGGGGTTTGTGACGTTTTCTCCTCCCTCGGGGCTAGCAAGGGCGACAAACCCCTGGAGAGCCTCGAGGAGGATGGGGACAGACAGGGCAGGGAAGTCTCTGCTCCCTCCTCATCGGTAGCTTCGCCCCCCAAAACCCTCAAAGTTTGATTTTGACCTCATCTTTTAGCAACCTCCCTCTTCACTTCACTGACTTGATCTCTAGTCCAAGTTTTTGCCAAGTTCTCTTCGTGTAATCCTGTTAAGTTAACTTTAAAGTGTTCTACTAGTGAAAGTTGATCAACTCTTCCCGGATATCCACCGCCCTGTGAACTTTCCGGGGCCGTACGGCCTCGGAGCCTCGGAGTACCGTACGGAAAGTTCTGAACTTTTCCCGGCCCGCCGCCGGAGGCCGCTCCCAGGTCTGAGTCTACAACCCGGCGTACTGCGGCTAACCGTACGGTACCAGCCGCTGAGCGCCGGCCGCCGTGTCGCAGGCCGTGTCGGTGGCGAAAGGGTATGAGGGAGATGCCATCACTTCGGGGAGACCTGAGGCGACTATGGCGACGGGTGCACGAGTGATGCTGTTCATATGGGGAGTGGCGGAGACGTCGACCGCGTTCATGCCCTTGGCTCCTTGTCCCTTCCTGTCCGCATGCTCGACCGCAAGCAGCTCGTTGTCTGCGAGAGGATCAGACTGCAGGAGGGCCGCGAGAGCATTACTCATGGCCGAGGGAGCTGGACGAGACTGGCATATGAAGGGGGAACCAGATGACGCTGAGGCAAGGAGCGATCGAATGCTCAAGATGTCGCTGATGCTGGCGAGGATAGGTAAGGGGACAGCAAGAGTCGGCGGTGTGTGACGATGTAGCAGGGGGGGACCTTGAGGCGCTGGGAAGGGGAGGATGCGACATCGATATAGACAGGGTTGAGAGAGAGATAACGTCCTTGTATGCTATCACGAGCAGCAGGAAAGAGAAAGACGTCGCATCTCAAGTATCCAGGTTGAGCCCTTCGTTGAGGGATGAGCTCGGTCAAGGAGCTGCCAAGTTGCACCTTGGTTGTGGGAGGAACGTCATGCCGGGATGGATCAACGTCGATCTCTACGGGTGGCGCTTGCGTGATGCACTGCAAAAGACGACAGCTGAGAACACCAACTCTGACAGCGTGATCTCCCTGAACCTCGCTACCACTCCTCTCCCTCTTGACGATGGAACCTGTCAATGCATCTACACAAGTCACATGCTCGAACATCTTTCGCACCCGGTAGAAACGAGGTCATCCCAGCAGCATTACCATGTCTTGTCCTGACTTATCTCCGCAGCATCTTCATGGAGGAGGTGTTCCGAGTGCTGGCTCCTGGAGGCGTCCTGCGAGTGGTCGTTCCCGATGCTCAAAAGTGGCTCAAGTCGTACACGAGTCGAGATGAGAACTTCCTAGTCTCCGCACGGCAGCATTGGAACCACTGGGACTGGAGGACGTTTGAAGAGCAACAGAGCTGGCTGGACCTCCTCCTTCCCTACCTCGGTGCTTCCTCCCTCAAAGGAGCTTTGACCGGGTCCCATCAGTTTGGCTTTGATGAATCCTCTCTACGAGCGCTCCTTGTAGCTTCGGCATCTCGTAGTTTGCTCGCTCCTTGACGGTGGCTGGCAGGAGCGGTCAGGCTTTCCTCGGGACAGCATCGAGCGCTCTTCCTTCCAGAGGAGCCGGCACTCTCTGCTGAGGGTCGATGACCGGAGCCACGCAGCTGGGGCCACCTTCGATGGGGAGGAGAGGTCTGTGCCAGAGAGCAAGTGTGAAGGAGAAGTGTTGACCTTTGATGCCTGTCCTCAGCGACGATACTTACTTCAGCCTGTTCATGGAAGCTCGCAAGCCCGAGGTATCCGCCGCGAGCCCAGCAGCTTTCCAGGTGTGTGGAGTGAAGGAAGAGGAAAGGTGCACCCTCACTGACTTGGGCTTGAATGGCTCTTAGCAAAGAGACAACGCGCTGCAGAAGTTTGTCAAGACGTTGCTGGGAACTCGTTGACCGTCGCTCTCGCCCTCAGTACCCGGTACGGTGCCGCCGCGTGGCAGTGTGCCGCACTACTACTGTACGCCGTGACGCCGTATCGGACGGTGATTTAACCCGGATAATGATCCGATGATCATCCCCCGCTCGCCGAGCCTGATCGAGTCATCGGATCATCGCATGGACTCGGGACTCTCAGCTGAGCGGCCCGGCGGCCCGGCGCCGGGCGCGGCCCTCTGAGCCTGAATCACTGATCGGAATTCCGACCGAAGTTCTGCAAGTTGTAACCAGGAAACCGGTGGATCCAGAATCAAAGGATTTTAAATTGACCCGTCTTGTATCCCAATACTACCCCTCTCTTCCCCGAAGGGGTGGGTACACCCAGAGCTCCGATTTCATTTCTATTTTCGGTACCCCTACCTACCTTACCTTGATAACACCCTACCAATCCACATTGGACCCCTGTCACATATTGGAAATTGCAGGCTACGACGGCTGTTCAATGGACCCCCTACCCACCCATTAATTCATGTACCCCCTTTCTTCAGCCTTCCGATTCTCCATCATTCAGCTTGCTTCTCACCGCCCCTTCATCCCCATTGCATTCCATGTTTAGACCCCACCCCCCAATTTAGGACCCCAATGTAAAAGTACCCCTCAATTATTGTTTCACTACCCCTTTTCTTATGTATACGTGTACTTCAATGATCTGACCCACCCTTCACATCTACCCCCACCCCCACTGGATGAGGTCTACCCCTCTGCGGCGGGAGAGCCAAAGGACAGACGTCATGGTTTACCAGGTGATGGCAGCGAGCGGGAGGAGGAGAAAGGAGAGGATGGAGGAGCACGTGAATGATGGTTACATCGAAGAAGCATGCATGGATGGAAGTAGAAGAGTGGGGCAGCTGAGGAGGGAGAGAGACGAGGACAGGCTACAGGGAACTGGCAAACACAATCGGGTGTAAAGTCTAGGGAAAGAGAGGGGAAAGAATAGCTGAATAGGACGAGAGAAGACAGGCAGTTGACCTGGAACAGGCGACTAAAGTTGTTGATCGAGAAGATGCTACTAAGAGACGGGGATAGAGCGTTGTGAGGTGAGGCAGCGTGCCGATTGGAAATGTAGCTGGTGGAGGGGGGCGCTGAACAGGAACAGAATGATAGGATAAGGCACGAGGAGGAGCGATGGAAACCTTGGATGAAGACAGAGAGATATGGCAGGGATATCAAGATGAGATCGTAGAAAGCTAAAAACTATCTTCACGAGCAGCACGAGATAGAGCACACGCTGTTTGTGGACTGTTTCTTTTTGTTCAACAAGTGTTAGAGAAGCTGTTTACAAGGACGACATGTGTGATGATGCGAGAGATATGATGATTCGCAAAGATAAGGGAGGCATGATTTAGTTCACCAGCCACTATGAGAGTTGTAGCGCAAGGTTTGAGATCATGTATGGGCAGAGGATGTGCAGGGATCAGAAGTCAAGGCGATGAAGTGACGGTTAATTCTTAATTTCTTAGTTTATGCGTATCTTTCAGTCAGTTTCTACCTCCTCTTACCCTCACACTAACTCTCTCTGTTCAGCGTGATACTCGTCAGCCAACCACCAAGCTCTGGGCAGATGGCATGAGCGCGGCTCAAGCTCGCAAGGCTCTCTTCGGTCAGTACAGCTGTACAACACCACGATTATGAATGGGTGGAAACAAAGTGTTGACCTTGTCCAAACATTGTCACTGTCAGCACGCAGCTGGATGTCTTTCTTGTCTTGCTTGCCCATGTGTTTCTGTTGCTCTGTCGTCTCCTCGAGTTCTCGTTTGCCTGTCTTGTTACCTTCTCTCGTAGTTGTTCTTGCCACTGACTGCCAACAGGAAACAACTCCATGATGAGCGGCAGCTCCAGAGACAGCCTCGGTGAGTTGCGCAGGGCATGATGCTAGATGTCTCTCTCCCTTCTATCTCCTCCTCCCTGCCTCCCTCGAGCTGCCCCCTCTTGTTTCTCTTCGTTCTCCACTTTTCGCGTTCCTACATCACAATAGTATCCTTTTCTTAGGATTGTCTTGTGTGGCTGGTTCACCTTTCTCCCCTCAATGTGTTCATCCTCCTCCCTCCCTCCAGTCAACCTCCTCCTCCATCTTCGCTGTCCTCACCTTCACCGTAGGCCTCGGAGGGAAGAGCGCTATCTCCAAGTACATGAAGTTGGCCAACCCCGGAATGTTCCACTAGGCAGCAGGATGCCAAGTCGATAAGAGAGTGCGGGGTAGATGAGTTTTCCTCTTATCACAGTGCGATTGAACGGGACATGTCATGTTGATCTCGTTCATTGCTTCGCTATACCTCTTATCACAGTGCGATTTGAACGGGACATGTCATGTTGATATCGTTCATTGCTTCGCTATATCACATCTTTCACCTCCCCGTGTGTTATCTGCATGTGGGTATGTCGTATCAGCATCTCCTTCATACCATCTCTGTCGCCCATCGCTTGAAGTGCGACGGCATGTCGAACTTGTTGAGTATCTCCGTCACCTGCCCAGCTTTCTCAGCGCAAACTTCCCTCACAGTCTCAGCTCACCCGACGAGCTGACAGCGCCAGCTGAAACTCCCTGCATACAAAACGTGAGCTCCCAGCACGGGCTCTGCAGGCCTTGAGCTGGTCTACCTGTGCTCACGAGGTACCCCACCAGGATGGTTCGTCTTGTCACTCCACATGACAAGCTCGAGAGCCAGCAGGTTGTCAACCGCATGCAGGCACGACGTGTAAAGTGACCTGCCCGCCCTGTTAGCTCTCTGCTGTAACCCAGCTGACCTACTCGATGGTGGGGGCCTCGAGCTGGGCTAGGCTCCTTCCCTCCTCCATGATGAGCCCAGCAGACGAGGCCGCGTGCCGGTTGGCGCTGACGAACTCGGAGAGATGCGAGTAGACCGACTGAGTGAAAGTCAGCTGGAGGGCAGCTGGGGGAGGTCGGCAGACGTAGGTAGAGAGTCGCGAGCCGATGGAAGAGAGTCTGCGGATGGCGGCGAGGACGGCAAGATCGACGAGAGAGAGCCCGGCGAGAAGTTCCGCCCTGCTGTGGAGTGAGCGAGGGAGGAAGGGAGGAGGAGGGAGGAGGAGGGAGGAGGGAGGGGAGGAGGGAGGAGGGAGGGGAGGAGGGATGAGGATCGGGAAGGAATCTGAACCATGAGTCGAAGGAGCAGGCTCCTGCTGCTACTTCAAAGTGTGCAGGACGAGGGAGGCAGTCGTCGACAGTCAGCGCTGAAAGAGCTGAAATCTGCGAATAGAAAAATCAAAAATCCCCGTCTTGTTCTCCTGCTCTCCTGCTCTCCTGCTCTCCTGCTCTACCCAAATCTTCGATTTCATTTTCCATCTGCTCTCCTCTTTCTCCTCTTCCCCACTGTCTCTCCTCCTCCCTCTTCGTCCTCACCGCCCAGTTGAACAAGGCAAACTTGCTGGTGGTGGACAGAAACATGGTCTGCAAAGAAAGTTACCAGGATGAGGGAGGAGGAAGCGGAGGGGAGGGAGAGAAGGAGAGTGAAGACAGCAAGAGAGGGCTGGGCTGGGGAAGGAAAGGTTGAAAGCACAGGACGCACCTTGAAGGATTGATGAAAGAGAGCGTCTGTCCGCAACCGATTGACTAGAGCAACAGTCAAACACCCTTCTGACGGCCCTGCTGCTCCTGCTGCTCCTGCTGCTCCTGCTGCTGCTGCTGCTGCTGCTGCTGCTGCTGCTCCTGCTGCTCCTGCTCCTGCTGCTCCTGCTGCTCCTGCTGCCCCTGCTGCTCCTGCTGCTCCTGCTGCTGCTGCTCCTGCTCCTGCTGCTCCTGCTCCTGCTGCTCCTGCTGCTCCTGCTGCTCCTGCTGCTCCTGCTGCTCCTGCTGCTCCTGCTGCTCCTGCTGCTCCTGCTGCTCCTGCTGTTTTCAATTTCTACCTTCACTACCATCTTTTCCATCATCTTTCTCCTTCTCCTCTATTACAACTTCTTCCACTGCTACACCTTCAACTCGCGGCATACCTCTGTCGTTGAACGCATGATGATACTTTCGGAACGACTCTGCTCTCAAGTCAGCCTGCCAGAACTTGCACGAGAAGGCACAGGAAGACGGCAAATCAAGAAGCAAGAAGGAAGAGGAATGAAGGAGGAGAAGGAGCAGGAGGAGATACCAGGAGATTTGCTGATAAAATGCTCCGGGAGGCTGACAGACGAGCAAAGAACCTCGAGGGTCATGTGAGGGTCAGGTGGCTGCATGAAGAAGATCTGCCGGCCTGAACAGAGAGTCAGAGAAAGAAAGAAGAGGCGCAGACAGAGAAGGAGGAGCAGGAGCAGGAGCGGGAGCAGCAGCAGCAGCAGCAGCAGCAGCAGCAGCAGCAGCAACCTGAAAATCTTGATCTCACTCTCTTCTCCAGGAGGTCCATGCACTCCAGACAATTTGACAACCCCAAGACAACCTGCCGTCCTCATCAGTGCCTCATCAAAACTGGTCTTCCTCTTTCTCCTCCTCCTCCTCGTCCTCCTCCTCGTCCTCGTCCTCCTCCTCCTCCTCCTCCTCCTCCTCCTCCTCCTCCTCCTCCTGTTAGTGATGGCTTTATTCGCTC